TACACTTTTTACATAAATTACACTTATTTATTTACTCTTTTATTTGAGGTGCTGATTCAGTATTGAGGTCTAATAGTTAATCGGTCCCGGGATCTGGACATTTAGACCACCATAGTCTAACATGTACATGGGCCATTGCTGAAAGAGAGAGAGAAAACAAAATCCATTGTTAAGGCATGATACAAAAAGACAAGCATTTATCCAATCTGTTATAGTCAGACACAGGGCAAAGATCCCACTTTCCAAGGAAAGATCTTTCTTTCCCCTCCTTCTTAAAATAAAAAAATAACACGATAAAAATGGACATAAATCTTTTAAATGTATTACTATTTCTTTCTTGTGTTTTAAACACACTTCACACTTCATTGTCAATCCATAAACTGAGGCCAGATCCTCAGTATTAGGTAAGCATGAAGGAACAAATCATTGCATCTCAATTGATTTCACTTTCTATAGTTGTGTCTTGGAGTTTCTGCTTGAAGCCACTTCACACCTCTCCCAATAAGACTGGCCTTTAAAACGTAATAAAGCCACCTCTCATCATGGCCAAAGCAAACTGAAAGCTGGGGTATGTTCACAGCACCTCCCAAAGATTGACAGGATACAAAAAATGCAGCTATGTGTAAGCTTCTGATCCTTAAAATTTGCGTCTGCATCTGGTGAAGCTTGTTCAAAAGATGATGAGTTGTCATTACAGTGTCGTAACCTTACCTGCCATATTATGATCCCCAGCACTTCATCTTAGCAATCATGTGGAGCTATGTTCCTGCACACAGTGCAGAAGGGAGCAGAAGGATGGATAGGAACATGCAGGAGGGCAAAACAACTACATTGCAATGTGCCTCTCTCAAGGCCTTGTTGCATGATCATTTTAGGTGGCTCCTGGGGCTCTTAACCCCTGGATTGGCTGCGCATTGACACTTTTAAGCATCTTTCTTATAGCACTCACGCAGCTCAAAGTTACACCACTCTAGGGCAAGGTTCTCTCTGATCCAAACTACCCAGCTCCTGTTCCACTGATATGTGGCCACTCCCCGCAGCTGTGCTGCTCAAGTTGAAGTCCTCCAGTATCCCAGGATACAGTGCCTTTCCCCAATGGTATTTCTATGCACAGCTGAAGATGGCAACAGCTTGAGGCAGGTCAGGGCCAGTGGGAAGGGAGAGGGGAGTGAGGCATGGAAAGTTAAAGCTGGCGTGCCAGGATGCTACTGCACGGCAGGTGGAGTGTGGCCCAGCACAAGAGAAAAAGGAAAGCTGCATAAGGCAGTGCCGAGGATGCAGGGGGGCTCTGGTACTGGCTTTGCTGCCCGGCCCAGCGGCTCCATTGCTGCCCAGCCCAGGAACATTGCACCACACCACCCTGCTGGTTTCCTCCCACAGCACCATGCCATGTCTAGCAGTGGCAGGTGACAGGAGCTAATAAAAGCCTGTCCTGGTTCACCAGCCCTGCTCACCAGGCCTCTAGTGACAAGCCACAGCTATGCAGGTACAGCACAGTCAGGAAAGGTTTTTAGCCTTAAGGTGTGACTGCTCCAAACTTGAAGCTAGCACTAAGCCAAGCAACATTGTGGAGGTCACAGTGCAAGGTGTAACAAGGCCCTCAAGGACGGATCCTGCAAGGTGCTGCCATTAGAGCCAGTTGGAACTGAAAGTGCTGGCTATCTCCCAGGAAGCACTCCAGACCTTGCAAGATTTGAGCCCTCGATGCCACATCTGCAGCAGTGCCAGGTCTAGATTTCCTGCAGTTGCGGAGAGTGGGAACAGCAGCTTTATGCAATAGGTCCCTGTCTCAGGGCAGGATACTTTATGCCAGGTAAGTGCATAATACGACGTTCCTGTCCTGTCTGCTACCTCCCTTGAGTGCAGCTTTAACATATTGCTGGGGGGCTTCATCAGTGAATGCTGGTGGAGCCTGGTGAATGTCACGGCTCTTTAGAGCAGGCTGAGCTGCTGCAGGAGAGATGCAGAGGGGCCACATTCATTGCTTTCAGGAACAACAGTGAATTGGGCAGTGGCTCTAAGGCTGGTGCTACCTATGCTGTATGCTGGTACACCTTGGCTGCTTTATGCCAGATTTGCTGCTGCCATTTTATATTATGGATTCTAGTGCATCTCTATAGCAAGAGAGAGGGTGGTCTAAAATTTAGAGACAAAAAGATAGATAGGCAGTGATTGGATTAATATGCAGAAGGCTTTACCACAAGTGAGATCTGATTTGTTGATGATGTGGACTCCATATTGGAAGAGGAGGACGAGGAGGACGAGGATGAGGAAGATACCGAGTTGCCTTCGGAGATCCTCTTCCGCTTTCGCTTAGGAACACTGTTGTCTTTTTCTGAAGGGAAGGGGGAAAAGTGGGGGTATACGGAAGGGCTCAGGAGGGGAAGCAAACACCCTCTTCCCACCCCTCCCTCTCTCCAAGCTGATTTAGGACCCTGGCCTGTAAGAACAATTTGTTGGTTTAATGAAATGTGGAGTAACTCCACCAACCAACTCTGTCTACTGCTCCAGAGGCCTTCTCCCTGCCTCCACCAGCCAGGGAAAAATGATTCACACCCTTTTCTTTTACTCTCTGGCCAGAATGTCTTCTTCCTTTACCCAGATCACCCATGTGACAGGCAGCGAGCCCCTAACCCGTCCCTGGATGCTGTTTTCCCTTGTCACAGGTGGACCCAAGACCTCTCTTTACACACAAGACCCCTCTGAAGTCACCAGAAGTCACAACGCTCTCCAAGCTTTTTTGATTCTCAGCTTCCTGCTGAGACCATTAACTGGCATGATAATGAGTGCCAGTTACACTGCCATTTTATCACAGTGAGCTGGGACTCGGATTCCTCTCACGCACAGTGATCCGATCTTAGGATATTTAAAAAGAAATTAGGGCTGAGATTTTCAAAGCTGTCTTATAAGCTGTAGTTGGCAACTGCCACTGAATGTAATGGGAACAGGGCCATCCAGTCCCCTAGGAGACTGCAAATCTCTGCCTGAAACAATAGCATCTCTTTTGCTTCCACACAAACGGCATCATGAAAGCTACCGCAGAGAAGCTGAGCCTGTGTGTTTTCCTCCTTCAGTGGATCCCAGGCCTTGTCCCAGGCCCCCACCGGAAGATCAAATGGGGACAATTAAAGATTAGGAAGACAGATATCTATCAAGTAGGCCTGCTCTGTTTGGATTTTTAGCCCAGAAGACAGGCCCTCTTGTTTAATTTGGGGCCACAGCCTGTTTCACTCTGCTGCAACGGGAGCACAGCTGGCAATCTGGGCATTGAGCTCACCTGTCTGTTTGGCCTCGGTGCATATTTCAGCAAACGGCCTGCGTAAGAAACAAGGTAGGGTTAGAGAGCATGAACGGTTAGGGGCATGCATGTTCTTTATCAACTGTCTCAGAGTGGGGCTCCCTCTGTCGCCTACATGCTTGGTGGCAATCCAGACCTCTGACACCGTGCTTGGCCACAGGACCGTTTCCTCTGGAAACCTGCCCAGAATCCTCCCCTCCCAGAGCAGCGCACATGGCAGGCCACAGCCTCAGTGCAAAGCCTTCTTTACTTCATGAGAGAGCTCTAAAAAATTGCTTGACTGGACATTGAAAAAAACAGCTGCTTTGGCATCCTGAGGCAGCCTTTATTGCACGCAGTTTGTCTTGGGGACGACATGGGACAAGGGCTCCCTTGATCCCTGCTGAAGAGGGGAAACTGGGGGTGAAGAAGCCAACTACAGGACAAGGCTGGCTTCCCCTTAGCAGTGTTCCCTCTTGGCCCGCAAAAGAGGTCCTGGTTGGTTATGCCCCAAGCTGCCTCTTCCTCCCTTCGCCCGTGTGACCATCAGTGGAAGAGCAGACTAATACTTCATGGCTTTGGCCCCCCTGCTCCTCACAGGACTTCAGGCTCATTGAGATAATACCCCATTTTATCTATTGCACCCACCACAAACACATGGCTGGGAAGCATATAAGAATCTGAACAGGAACCCAACTGTTCCCTAGCCTGGCAGGATTTCGCAGGTGTCTGAGGGATGAGCATTTTGGAAATGTAATCCAGAAGAAAGCATGGACCAGAATCCGAGCAAAAGTAAACTAGCACAGCTCCAATGCAATCACTGGGACTTGGGCTAATTTGCCTCCATTGGAGAACTGGGCTTCACGTTTAAACACAGTGCAGAAGTTATTAAGACTTACTGAAGCTGGTTTATAACGACCATCCGGATATTCTCCCGAGCTTTTAGGATTTTCTCCAGCCGATGGATGTCATAGGTGTTGGGGTTTCTAAAAGGGATATCATCTGGCAGACCAGTAACTTCAACAGCATCAGGACTGTCCCTGATCAATTTGTATGGCACCATGACTGGCCGGTTCAAGCCCAAAGCTTCTCCTGCAATAGCCAAGTAAAGGACAGTGTGACAAACAAAGAGTCAGTGGATGCCTTCAACCCTCAGGTGTATCAGAGAGTATTTTGTCAGCAAAGCTGGGTTTTCACTGCACTCACAATTTTCCTGGAAATGTTATATGTTGCTTAATGATTTTTCTTCAAAATCTAAATAAGGTACATAGCGATAAGAATGGTTTTGTTATTTAAGCAAGAAAAATACTTTCCCTTGGGGACTTTGGTATCTCAGTTTCTTCCCTAAAAGTCAGGAATTCACTCAACAATAATAGGTTCCAAGTACTTTTTAGGTTTTTGGTGCCAAGCCAGTGAGTTTTAAATTGTGGAGTGAGAAGCGCATCGCAAGGACAGTGCCTCAAGTCTTGGAAGTTGTGAAGGCTGGCATTCCTTTGGGCTTTCTAAGCTATTGTCAGAAACGAGCTCTTGGACTGGGCACACTTTTGACCGCCTGAATACAAATCTCTTGCAAGGACAAAGACAAGAAGGATCTCTCTAGGCCACGTTCCTCTTGAGTTACATATCCCTGTTTCTTCCCACTAGCCCAACCTGAGGAAATGATGTTCTTTTGCTTATGAGATGAAATTGCTTCATATCTTTCTGTTCAATTAATTGATGGATTCATTGGTCTTTAAATACTCTCACAATTAAATGCATTTTGGGGCTAATATACAATGCCTACACATACACTCCACATCTGTGTCCGCAAGTCCAGCAAAATACTCTCCGATAACAACGTAAGCTGATGCCTTTGCCAAGTTCTCATCCTCCACAACCTTGGGTCACGGGTTCTGTTCCTAACAAAGCAACAGATTCTGTTGCAAGAGCTGTTACTAATAACCTTCTTCCTCTCTCCTCTTTCCATATCCTAGGCAAGGGCTGGGACTTAACTCCCCACCAAGCATTACCAAAACCCAAACTGAGGCATTAAAGTCAGTGAGCACAGTTACAGCTTCTTGCTTTCTTTCCAAGGAAATCAGCCTTAACAATCATCCTGAGTTACTACTGTCTACAGAGGCTCAGCTGCTGTTTGGTGCAAGGTAGGGCCTGTTCAGAGAATGCTCTGCTGCAAATTCAGTGGTATGCTCTGGCACCCAGATCAAAGGAATTCAGCTAGCTCAGATCAGACTAAGAATCTTTTTGTCCAATGTCCTGTCTCTGACAGCTACTGGCAGAGCCAGGTGCAAGAAACTCCATAGTGGATATTTATAGAGTAACCTGGTAACTCAAGGTTTGTGCACACCAATGCAGCTGACCCTGCATGCTCTAAGCCCAACTGGCCCAGCGACCAGACTTTTGACTCCCAGGGCTTGAGTCTGGCCATCACTGCAACAGAGTGTGTTCGTACTGACCCTAGTGGGGCTATGTAGCTAAGAGAAGTTGAGTTGTGTCTCAGTCTAGAGCTCAGGCAACAGGCACATTACACAAAAAGTGGAGGAGAATCAGTATACAGTGCAACATTACTTATTTAGCAAGCAGCTGCTGATTTAACATCTGGAACATATTCAGCAATGTCCACATTGTGTGTTTTGGGAGAGGAATAGGAGATCACCTGCTGTTACTATAATGAGAACATATTCCCTGCCTAGCTCACCCTCTTTCATGGGAAACAAAAGCACCTGAAGCAAGGGCTTCTGCAGTCCCTCGCACCCCTTCAACACCATACAGATCACACTTGTTTAATCCTTCTATGCAACTGCCGCCCAATATTTTTCTGCTGGAAACAAAGAGGCTGGCTCAGTAACATACACATTCACTTCCTCCAACTGTGACACGTGGTATTGCTCTACATTTCTTTATTCCTTGCCCTGAATAGACTAGCTCTTGAACTGGATGTTATACAAGTAGCCTAGTGTCTCTCCACTGGCCAACTGGTCATTCTGCTTTGGACATTCGGAAGCTCAACCCACAGAGGAACTGTTAACTCTGTAAGCTGCGTCCATATATTGAGCTTGCAGTCTGAAAACATTGGTGAAAGAAGGGCAGAAGGGATTCAGAGCAAGGAGGTTTCAGCCCCACGTGCTGTGTGCGAGTCTGGCACCCCTCATTCCTTGGCCACTACTTTTTTTCCTCTCGGTTGAATTTTTTCAGGGGCCTGCAGGGATGATCCACTCAGGCTGAAGCAGCATTTTTGCAGCTGGCAAATTAGCTTGAAAATTCTGAGTGCTGGCACCAGCCAGAGCAGCCCAAGCACAGGAGCCACTCACAGAAGATGAGCAGCTGCCGTGGTGTGATAATGCCCGTCCCTGTGCTCTGGTTGGCTGGTGCTTGTGGGCCAATACAGAGTACAAGGACTCAGATACAGTTTGGCTGAGGAACAACTGTAAAGCGGTTATGCAAATCAAGCCCCCAGAACCACAATGTGGGGGGAAAGCTAGACAGCTATGCACCAGTAACTGTGCAACGCCTCTGCTCTGCGAAGGGCTGAGACAATTACACTGCTGAATGCTGTGCCCTGTGCTGCAGGGGTGTTTTGTCTTCCTTTTCTATTTTTGCACAAGATTGGCATGAAAGGACACAAATAACTCAAGACAGACAGCCCAAATGCCACCATCCCCTTCAGCACCCTAATCTGCTTGTCTCTTGCAGTTTCAACCTGGCTGCTCAAAATGTGCAGGGGGTCTGGCATTTGGCTGCTGTGATTTACCTGTGCTGTGCAGCAAAGAGCGGTCCTTCCCCACTGCAGGCAGAGCTCTCCCAGCGGCTAGCCTGGGCCAGCCCATTCTCAGAGCGCACCAGGGCTTATTCCAGCTGCTCATCTCTTAAAAAATGCAGCAGCAGCTGACATAAGTCCCAGTCCTTGGATGCGGATTTCCTTCCCTCCCCTTGCCCTTAGAGGAGATGAAGACAAAAGGGTCACAGCCCCACCTGCTGTCAGCAGTCTGCAGAGATGAGGAACACCTCTGGGAATGGGCTGTAATGTGGAGCGGTGAAACAAGCCTGTGCCACAGCAGGCTGCTTGGCCTATAAATAGCAGACTTCAATCTAATTAATTTTAACTGCGGCTGCTCTCTGTGAAATGCCCTGGCATGGGCAGGCGGTGAGGCTACTCACCGTATTTTTCATTGAAAAGCTCCTTCACTTGCTCTCGGAGAATCACCTTCTCTCCGAGCCTGTTTGCGTCGTCCTCGTCTGTAAGGAAAACAGGCAAAGGTTGTAACAGCCTGGCTCATCGCTCCCCAGTGCAGTCAGTCGCAGCGTGAGAACAGTTAGTTCAGTATAACAACAAATACACAGGATGGTCTGGAGAAGAGCTCATCGCACTCCGTCCAAAAATGCCACAGCAACAGACCTTGGCTCTGAGCATTCCCTGCTTGCACCCGGCGTCATCCTTGATACCTATGCAAAGTGGATACAAAATGCTGCCTAATCTTCATTTTGCATGGGCAAAAGCAGTTTCCACCCACTTTACATACTTGGCACTCATTAGCTGCTCTGCAAAGTGATGGAGACCCAGGCCCTTGGTGCCTCAAGTGCTCCCACAAGTGATATAAAAGAATGAGACAACCACGTTCCAGCCCGACTCCTAAGTGCAGGATTGTTTTACAATATGCCAGATAATCAGCTTGGCTTTCTACTTGCTTTTGTAATTATCTTCCCCATGCCCAGCTTAATTTTTCCTTATTCTCTCATTTCACTGAAATTGCCTCATCAGTTAGGCTTTTCCCGGCCACTCGACATCCCTGGGGAGGTTCCAGGAAGAATAACTGCATCCAGCATGTGTCCTCCACACAATACTCCCTCCCTCTCAGACACATGGGTCCTAATGAAAAGGTAAGAAATAGCCTTTTCCAGTCCTCTCCATTGTTCAGATGCTTGGTATCTGTGCGTGCAATATACAGACGTGAAGAAAACCCTTGCAATACACACACACGTGCAAAATCAGAAGTAAACTCTTGCAGCTCAAAGAAAAATCACTGGCTTCTCTGCATCTCTTTCTCCTTTCCTTCAGCTGAATACTTGCTGGCCACCTAGTGGAGAACATAGTCCAGTATTCATCAGAGGCATTCATTGAAACTAACTTCTTTTTTAGGCTTACAGTTAAGTTGTTCCAGGCAGACATTTTCTAAGATATCTTCTTGTCTCTGCAAATCCATGCATCTCTAAGCCGCTGCCTGGCTAGAAAGCTTTGGTTACCAAAAGCTTGACAGGAGTACATCAAACACCAACTCTTAGACCAAAGGGTGCTAAGTGGCAGAGGGCTGGGAAGAACACAGCTTTGCAGTGTGAGAGATGCTGGCAAATGTGAGATTTTTTTACACATTTGAACTCTTGCATCTGCTTTGTGGAACGTGCTCTTTCATCGTGGTGTTCTATTCAAAGCTGTGCTTACAGAATTGCAGTAGGGCCTTTCTGTGATGTTACTGAGAAGGAAACCGTGCATTTACAAACAGGTTTGGAATAAATTCTGGGCTGGCCCAGTAGGAAAGAAGCAACACAATGTCTGGCTGTTACAAGAGTTGATGAGAGTTTGAGATAAAGCTCAGCTCTTCATTTCCCAAGCCTGTAAAAGTAGTGTTTTCAGGGAATGAAGGTCCTTTAAAGCATTCCTCACAAGCAACCCTCTCCTAATCTGGTATTGAGCCCTAGCGGTCAACCCCACGGGAATGGCAGAAGGGGAAGAATTTCAGAAGACCCATACTCCCTGCTCTTCCTTCTCAATACCATCCTTGTTAGGTAGACAGACTCTACCAAGACATCACTCAAGACTACAATTTAGCCGGAGGACAGCCCGTTTCTATTTAAAATCTCAAAAGTTTGATAATAAAAAGTAGTGTTAAAATGAAGGTATACCGAGTACTGTGCATATGTATGAATAGAAGGTTTCATACACAACACAGATCTACCTGACTATACAGTCATGCTGCTGTTGATAATTTATTTGATGTCCATCTAATGTCCATGGCAGTGGCAATACTCGCATGTTTAAAGTTCAGCACTTAAAGCCTTGATTCAGCAAAGCACTTGAGTGCATGCTTAACTTGGGGAAAAATACAGCTCATTAGTTAATACATTTAAGTCAAAGCCTAAGTTATTTCAGTTTCATCTTCAGAGCACTTGGGTTTTTTTCCCCCACCTTCTACAAGTGACAGTCAGTTTGCAGAGCCTCATTGCCTGATCCATCACTGGACATCCAAAATCATGGGTCAGGTCCCCAAAAGTCAAAAGCCTGGGTTGAAATTGATGAAATAATAGTAAAAAAACCCCAGTGTTTTGGCGTTTCTCCTTCTTATCTGGGATCTAAGATTTCAGAGTGCAGTTGGGTCATATTTTCATGCTTCCTTCCACCATCGGGGGGCTGGCAAACAGCTTTTTTATTCCTTAAATGAATTCTGAGATTCTTGTGAAACTTTCTTTATCCCAGAGTTGGGGTTTTGAGAAAAACAGCAACAGTCACAGGACCTGTGTGTAATGGTGCGTGACTACAGGAACAGCTGTAGCACCTCTATTGGCCACGCTATGCCTGCCTTTTTACTCTTTGGCCTTTTCATGGCTTTGCGCATCGTGGCGTGTTAGTGAATGGTATGCAGCCTGGGCATCCCAGTCAAGAGGGTTCCTCAAAGGGGTGGCTTTAACCTATTGGGTCGCTATTGCTGTGTGCTCAAATGCCTCCAAGAACACTTCTGAGTCATCGTCTCAAGCTCGGGGATGAAACCACACAGCTCTTTCAAGGCTTCCTCTGGTTCCTGGCTGCAGAAGTGTTCTGCCAGCTGGTGCTGCTGCTCTGTTATGGTCCATTGGGTCTCTGCTTGCTGCAGCTTCCACCTTTCTGCCACCTCCTTCCTGGACTATTTGCAGCAACAGGCTCTGAAGCCTCTGAGCTGCTTCTCTTTCCTCACTGATGTGCCACCCTTAGCTACACCCAGATTCTTAAAGCTGGAGGGTGATCATTCCTGTACCCTGGGTGCTCCACCAAATCCCGGAGAATGGTTCCTGCAAACGCCTTGATGCTGTCCAGATGTATTCCCCATCAAGATCCTCTTCGACGTTTAGAGGTTTTCCCCCAAAGTCACAGCCGTTCAGAGCTTCTAATGCCCTTTTTCTGCACTTTTCACTGTTGAATCTAACCCTTCCGCAGCTACTAGGTTTTCCCTTGGCCACTTTAGTCTTCCTGGCCCAAAACCATTGCTTGTGGGTCTCTTCAGATACCTATAGTCCTTGCAGTATGGCCTCCTTCTCATCACCTGACTTAGGATCCCCTCAGTGGGCTACAAGCATCTTCCCTTGGCCTCCTCAGCAGGCCATTACTTAATTAACTTCCAGCTGCTCATTACCTGGGGCTCTGCAGCTTTTTAACTCTACTGCCTGGCCCTACTCTCAGTAACAAGGCTTGGCCCCTGGTACCCCATGACAGAACCAGGAGAGCTAGCAATGCTCTATCTTTGAGGTCTTCACTCCTGAAAAGAAGTTGTTGTTCTTTGACGACATGTACTGTGCTGCTTTAGTGTACATCTTCACAAAAGCTTGGCCTTTGAACTGGGGAAATTGGGAAATAATAGCTCTGTATGTGCAGACACAGAATCCAAATAAAAGGGGTTATTTCTGAAAGAAGCTTGAGGCCAAATAACAGTTTGCATTCAGCAACTGGGATGATGACGCTTGAAAGGGACTTAGCAAAAGAAGGCTGCGAAGATCTCTCAATTCAGGAAGGAAATTGCAAAGAAGCTCCCTTTCTCTCTACCATTCCAGTATGCACATATGTGTTAGCCCACGCTGTAGCAGGCTTAGTCTCTATGGGGGGGGGGGGTCACTTTAACACAGGCAGCCCCCTAATGAGCTCCCTCTGTGACTTTCCTGTCATTTATGCTCAGTTTCCTGGCCATGTGGATGTATAGATGGTAGCAGACAAAAAAAGAAACATCAAAATCAAGTGTTTTGTTTTGTTTTGGGGGGGTGGGGGGTTAATCGTGGCAGCATTTTTGTTTCTCTGAGTTTTAGAATGCCGATGGTTCTTGCCTTTCTAGTAATCCTCCAAGAAATAAGATAGGAACTTTGATTTCTGTCTTGCACCTGCTTTTGGTGGTGGTGTGAGGCTCCTAAGTTTATACCAGGTGACACAAACTATATGCTAGCAGAAGTGGGAGAAACTCAAACTGAGCACGCATAACAGAGAAGCCAGAGAGGAAGTATAGAAGAACGTAGTGCCTATGCTAAACCTGCCTTTCGTATCATATGCTTTGCTTTACAACACAGAGACACCAATGGAAAGGATCGCTGTATGTCTTGAGTCTGTTTGCTGCTTTGCCAGATCCCTTTCATTACATCTAGATTACTGTTAGATGTAATGGGGCAAAACAAATGCAGCCTAGTATTTTATATTTATTGATACTGTAATACAGTTGGCTCAAGAACAATACTGAGTTCTCTAATATACTGACCCTGTATCAGGAAGCCTGTCTGGTACAGTGTTGTACAAATCCATACAAAGGTGCAAATCTACCATGCCTTCTCCAGTGTTGTACTGTCATTTTATTTATTTTTTGTTATTAAACAGAAATAGCATAACTTCTTCAATTCTGACTGCTCAAAGTCAGGATCCCTAATGTATAGGGAGACCAGTAAATGTGGCCTGAATGTTAAAGCTCCTGTGTGTCTGCAGTTGCTTGTTATTTCACTGGGATTTCGGAGTGTGCAGAATTTCTGAAACCCCTGCCATTTCCATTAGGTGTCGCAATGTGAACTTAGGTCTGCTGTGTTAGGTACCCAGGACTGAATATTTTACGCTGTTCTTTTTTGTTTTTGCATTCAAAGAATATAGGAAATGGTCTGTGTGTAGCTTCCTGTAACTGCTGATTTGGCTACCTGGAGGTAAGCAACACAGATAGAACAATTCCCCCTGGATTTTAGTTTGGCCAAATGGAGAGAGCTAACTCAGGGGACGGATAGAGCCTCTCTTTTCCTGGTGGTCTGAGGAAAGCTAGTCACTACCAGATCAGGAGGCACTACTACCAAAAGAAAGTTTAGGGTCCTATACAAACTGAGGTTGGGGCTGAGGCAGTTTGGGGAAGCTTTCCTGCCTATCACTATATGGATAAATATGCCATCCATCCAACAGATTACTAATCTAGCCCCTTACACCTGCACCAAAAGCACCCCAAAATACAGGGGGGGGAAGTCTGGAATACCACAGAATACAGTACCTATAAGGAACTGAATCAGCTATTGCACAGTACTGTCTGGGAAAGTAGAGCAGGCTGGATAATGCTAAAATTAGCAAAATGCTGGTACCTAGAAGGCCAGGTAAAATGGTAGAACTGCTTTACAGTGATTTAGTAATTAATTGTCAGCCATTTTGCTATCCAGGGCCAGATTTTGGTTCCACGCTCACAGGGAGTAGTAGATACCACACCCCCTCATTCAAAGACACCTCCTTGCCAAGTTAGGCAATCAGTATACTTAAGGTTATCAGAGCTGGTCCTGAGTCACAATAGGATGAGCACGTGATGGTTCTGTCTCCCAGCTTCTTGTATGACTGTGGGCTAATGGCCCGTTCCTGATCTCAGTTATGCCGGTGTAAATCAGGAATGAGCCAACTCACTGGCATGAGACTGTTCCACAATTACACAGGTTTAAATGTCATTCGAATCCAGCTGCACATAGGTAACATTTTCTAGATGTGGCTAGAAACCTGTAGGAGCAGGCATTTAACATCTAGGCACACAAGGCCAGATTCCAGGCTTAAGTAGGTAAGTAGAGCTCTGATGAAGCCACCTAATGAGAAAAACCTAACTCCACTACAGATAAAAACAATGCAAGTTCTTATTTACTCTAGGAAATTATTATATACATGAAATCAATGAAGCTATGCTGATTTAACACCTGCTGAGGATGTGGCCCAAACTATGCAAAAATGCTCGCATAATTATTATGAATTGCACTGTAAGACTTCTCCATAAATTAATCAATTAGATGGCATTAATGAGCTAAGCATAGATTTGTCAGGTCAGTTTATCTGGAGAAGGATCAGCACTGATGCCTAGAAACTATGGTAGCAGGTGCTTACAAATGCATATGGTAATAACAGTAATTTAAAATGCATCTTCTGTTGGTACCACAGTGGAAACAGTGCAAGGGGGGGGGGGGGAACCACCTGAAACTGGGGTGTTTTTCGGTAGTTTCATTCCCATATTAAAAACACAAGTACATTTCTTGTCTGCTACCATCTACGATGCACCAGCTGAGCTACATACCATTCAAAGCTGCGTACGCTTTTTCCAATGATGTTATCCGTCTAGGGGCTACAGCACACGTTGAAAGAAGAAAAAGAGAGAGAGAGAGCAATGAGTGCTACAGTTTGGTTTCTGCTGAGCTCCTTTTCACATTATTAAAAAACAGAACACACGCATGTTACGTAAAAAGTGGCACTTTCTTTGGTTTCTGATCTCACTGGTAGAGAGATCTCCTCCATAGATAAACGCTGCTACCAGAACTGCACAGCTGAGACAAGGGTGGAATCAAGTAGGACCCAGCTCAGCACAGTTTTTAAGCACATGCTTAGTTTTAAGTACGTGAGGAGTCCCATTGACTTCAATTGAACTACTTACGTGCTGAAAGTCAAGTGATTTAAGGACATGTCTCTCTCAGCATGTTTCAGTTCTTATGATACACTGATGCGCCTGCTATACAGAGCAGCCCTCTCCCTAAGCCATGTGTGTAAAACACACTGACACCACATTTAACATGTACTGCCTAAGCTGGATATGTGCCGAGAATGAAATTCCAGCCCTGTGCGGTGGGTCAGCAGAAGGTGGACACTGCTTCATCCCCATTTATGTCCTGTTACTGGTCAACTTCATTGGGATATAAGAAGTGAGTTTCATCGGGGGAGCACAGCCTCTGTATTTTGATTCTTCCCTTCCCCAGCATAGTTGAGAGGGGGAGGACTCATTCCAGGGTCGCCTGCAGCAGGCTCTCTGGGAGAGACTGCTAACCCCAAATTAACCAGCATGGGGAACATGTGAATACACCACATCATCACCTTCGCAATATCCTGTAAAATGCATGCACACAAGGAACACAGAGCTCCCCATCTGGAGAGCAGCCGAACAGAACGTCCAAAGCAATCCTTCAATGTAAGCATCGCTGAAAAGGAGAGCAAAAGTCACAGTGTGGGAGGAAAAAAGTATACAGGCGATGACTGAAAAGAGGTGGAGGAGATTCTGAGTACTGCCTCTCTCAGCCAGTGCTGCAAAGCATTTAGTGGTGAGTGATTATAGTTGGGCATGAGTTCTGCTTTCTGCCAGACTCAGCTATCATGCTGCAGTGGGCAGAAGAGAACAGGTTGAAGGGGCAAGAGTTGTACTTTGGAAAAGAAAAGGGCCTCTGCAGTGCATTTATTAGGCTGCAGGGTGAGAGAGTGAGCTGAAGCTGACAGCACTGACAAAGCTGGGGCGACTGCAGAAAGGAAAATGCTAAGGTTAAAGGAGATGAAAAGTAAACAGGATAATTGTGTTAGTTCTGTAGCAATGGGGAGGAAAACAGAGAAAAAGAGACCCCTAAGGAGATGCTGGCTCTAGTCACTGACTCTGAAATGACAAGTGATATCAAAAAGAAATGAATTTCCTGGGGAAAAGCAGCGGCAGCAAAGCTAGGACCAAAATTTGCATTATGGTCAAAACAAAAATGAAACAGATCATTATAATAAAGCTGACACTTCCATTGGGAGAGGAATTCAAGGTAGTGTGGCAAACAAGCTAATGAGGGGGAAAGTCTGAGGCAAGGTGTAGTAATGACAGAGGCTGGAAGTTAGAGCAACTGGAGATGGGATAGAAAGGTACTCAGCGTGAATACTATTATAGAGAAATAGCAGGGTTTGGGCCACTGCTGAACAGGGAGCTTCTGAAGCGTGTGTGTGTGTGTGTGTGTGTGTGTGTGTGTGTGTGTGCGCGCGTGCGTGCATGCACGCGTGTGCGCGCTATTTCTCAAAATCTGCATTAAAGCAAACACTTCAAACAAAAACTTAAGAGAATCAGCAACTGAAGCAGATGAAATAAAACAGGTTCATGCTCTGGATGCTGAATGCCTACATCTTGCTGACCTCGCATCTGACCATTTTGCTATGGACCCTTACTGAGTTCTGAGGAGTCAAGTGACACGGAGAAGCAGGGTTTTGAGAGTCGCAAACGTTTCTGCACAGAAGGACGCGCTTGGACTCTGAGCAGGGGACCGACTCCACCATCCGTCTGCTGCGTCCGAACGGATCGGACACGCTTGTCCGTCGGTGCATGGAGGCTCCAGTTTGCATCTGTTACTCCTGC